AAGACTCAAACTGAAGGACAAAGGAAAAACTAGTAAGAAGAGCTGACAAAGTAATTGGGCAGGACGTGGTGGCTCAGGCCTGTTTTCCCAACCCTCTGGGAGCCTGAGGCAGCAGGATCCCAAGTTCAAGCCCTGGCCAGCCAACTTAGTCACTTATCAAGACTTTGTCTCCAAAATCTAAAAATTAAGTAAAAAGAAAGGACTCAGTATAAGGCCCTGATTTCAGTCCTCAGACCACAAACACACACACACACACACACATACACACATACACACACAAATCGGATACATCTGTGTACAAATGAGATAAGCCATTGTTACTATAAACGTCAATATAAACTCTCAGGACAATCTAATTTCCTAAACAGTTACAAGCATAGCCATACACCCCGGTGGCTTGGTTACGACTGTCTGGTTAATACTGACCTCGACCTCTATAAGCCTTGGTGGTGCTGAAGTCAAATATTATAACCCGTCCAACCACAGCTTGAACCATATGGGGCTCACTGAGGTGTTTCCAGGTTCATCTTTATCTTCAGAAAATGTTAATGGATTGTGTGAAGTTTTAACTGAGTTTGCTTTATCCTGGATGTCAACAGGACCGCACTAGTCCATGTTACTTGAAATTCCTGGCCAGGGTCTCCTGTGAGCTCTGAAAGCTCTCAGAGAATCTCTCTGCTGGCCCACAGTTGGCTTATTTCTGGCTCCATGAACTGTGCTACTCCAGGCTCAAAACAACAGATCCAAGCAACCATGGACTGCAACCACTGAAATAGTGAGCTGCAATCAACCTTTCCTCTTTTTATGTTGATTTCCTTAAGTATTTTGTCACAGAAACAGAAAGCTAACCATGAGTTATTTATTCATCAAACATGGGCATGTCTACTCTGTGGCAGTTGTTGATACTTTGTTGAGATGCCTGATCCTCCTCTCTGCTCCCATCATGCCTTGCTCTCCCTCTACACTACATTCCAGCCTGGGCACAGAGGGAGGGCACATGCACTGTGGTTCTGTGCAGGTGATGGGCTATTTGAAAAACTGAGCTAAGACATGGGACAAAAGAAGGAAAAGAGAGTGCATTGGGAATATTTTATTAGGGCTTTATTATGTAAGATACAGGCAAAGCGGTCACTAAAGTATGCAGTGGGCATTGAGTTATTTTGTTAGATTTATGCTAGGTACTGTGGTGGAGAATGAAACCTCTGAGTCTTTTCAGCCTTTAGAAAGTGTGAATTTTGAAATCTGACCTAGAGAAGAGTCACCACCCAGCACCCTGAGAACCTGAGTCATGTCACCTGGTCAAGTCTCCAGGAAAATGGAGGTAAATAGAAAATTTCACAAAATCTTTATATAGGCTGGGGTGAGCCTTATACATACAGGTAGATATACATCTATAAGTAGACTGACACTGAGAAAAGTGAGCGGCTTTCCTAAGATCACACAGTGCAAGTGACAGGGCACAGGCTCATGCCCAGGTACCTCTCTCCTTACAGCAGCAGCTTCTTCTGTCCAAGGAAAGTATTAACAAGCTGATCATAAAACTGGTCCTTCCTCTTCACCACTTACTGTTATACTGTTATACATTTGATGAAAATGGTTTAATCTGTTCAATGTTATTAGTGCATTTTAAGCAAAGGTTCTGAAACTCATGGCCCCTCCTAGAACATTTTGGGGGACACATGAAACTTAAAAATGCTGCCCCAATTCCAATTCTTCTGGGTGCAGGCTCAGGTTCTAAAGCATCCTTGCCAAGGTCACATAGAGCAGGAGGGAGTGGAAAGAGCAGGCTCTGCAGGGCTGAGCTCAGTGTTCACTTCCTCCCCTCCCTCTTTCAGGGCTCTGGGCAGGGCCTGAGAGGCCAAGAGGGAGTGGGACAGAGAATAGCCTGTCTTCCATCTCTGCTTCCAGAACTGCTTGCCTTACAGACAGGAAGAGGATGAAGAGGGCTACATTGGGTAGTGGGAGTGTTAGAGAGGAGTGTGTGCGATATCAATTGTGTCAATAAAGTGGTTTAAAGTTTAAATACAGGAAGATAGGGAGAGAGGAGAGAGAGACAGAGAGACAGAAAGACAGAGACAGAGAAGA